AGAGGAGGGGGCAGGAGCCACTCCCCCACCCCACCAGATAAGCTGCAGCTCCATCTCGCGTTCTGCCCTGGCTGGGCAGTGTCTGCTCCACCCAACTCCCTTCTTCACCATGTGGAACATTGATCTGCCGCCTCAGACCCCTTCCCTCCCCCCTCCCCTTCTACCACAGCAGATTTACCAGCTGCATGCAGCTCTCCAAGCTGTTGGGCTGTGTTCCTCGCTGCCTGCATACTGTGCACACGCACGGGCATTTATTGGCCAAATTATCAACCACATCAGGCCAATTTCCAATCCAACCAATTTTCTTTATATCGGTGCTGATCCAATATTGGACTCATGTATCGGTGTACCTCTCACTTTTTCTTTTTCTAAATAAGTGGTCCTGGGTAATATTAGAAACTGTGTTATAGTTTATCTTTACTACATCAATACCAAGCACAGAATAGACATTTTGGAGAGGGTGACACTCCCTAATCTGGGGTTCAAGAAATTAGATGGAAAACTACCAAAGGCATAGTTCCTGTTACTGGTACATAGATGTGAACACCTTCACTTAAAATCTACCACATATAAAAAAAATTATGATCAATTACTTTAAGTATATTTCAGTAGCAGGTACTTTAGAAAGTTCCTGCAAGGGGTATATCAGAAGACAATAAAATCCTCTAGACACTGCCAGCAGTACCACTACTGGGCATCTACGCATATAAGACAGCTTAAAAATTACAAGTTTATATGAGTGCAACTCCAGCTACAAAGGCTATAACATTTATTCAAGAGGTACAGGTTATTGTTTTTCCAAAATAGGCTTTTTCCCCCCTCCCAGTTCAAGGGAACAATTTGATTTTACTGAAAGTGATAATCAACCCACATTCTAGGAATGTACAGGGTGTTCTACAGGTAGTTAACTTAACAGAATGGGCACATTGCTCTTCATGCACATTTTATGACTAAAAGCCCTGAAGCATAATCAACCATGAGGCAATCACTTGTCATAGTCCACCATAAGAATAGCTCAGCTGGAAGCTAAAAATCTGTGAACATCAATATTGCAAATACGTTGGACTGCAAAGATTCTAAATTTATTAAAGCATACCCTCAGCTAAATATTTTTGGAAAGTCTGCCTTTAGGAGAGGGTCTAAGTGCCTTCAATTTGGTACAAAACTTTGCTTAAGGCTTTAGATAACAGGACTGTCATAATCTACAATGAAAAAAAGTGAGAAACCGTAGCCAATAGGAAAGTATTAGGAGTTTAGACCAGGGGGTTGTGTACCCCTGGGTGTATGGCAAGACATTTCTAGGGGGTACATGGGAGAAATTATGTAATGGCAGATTTAATTTTCATTATAATAATAATTAACTTTTAAGGGGTTAAAATATAAAACGTATCCTGGTAGGGGGACACAGGCAGTTGGTAAATCTGGGAGAGGATAGGTAATAGGAAAAAGGTTGGGAACCTCTGGTTTAAACCAAAGAGCCTTACCTCTTCAATGAGGGTATTGATTTCAGGTGCTGCCTTATTTGCTCGCTTTTTTAGCTGTTTTTTTGCTTTGTTTACATCTTTTTCAACTCTCTTCCAGTCAACTTGTACATATCCACTATGACTAGCAATCTAGACAAATTAAGAAGATTAAAACAATTACAAATCAATATTACATTTAAGAATCAACACATAAGAAGTCTGCATATACCCAACTTTAAGAACTGGTTGGGGTTTGCCTTTTCAGATAAAGGCAAACTGAATTGGTTTAACTGCAGATGATACAGAGGTTGCGCTTCAGCACACTAGCAATATTTCTGCAATAAGATATAAATATAATCTGAATATGAACTGGCAGGATTCAACAGATGCTTGTTCATCTCATCCCCCTCCCCTCTTTATTTTGTAACGTTAAAGATTCACATTGGTTACTGCTTTATAGAAATCAAAAGCATTTCAATAAGATGACTAAAACCAGCTGTTTCAGTTTAGTTTCTTTCAGAAATATTATTATAATTCAAATTTGTGACAGGACACACAGTAAATCTCATCTAAACTTCTGACAGAAGAGTTATCTTCTTGTCTTTTAATATTAAAATGACCATATAGTATTCAGCTCATTCCACTGTTAGCTAGAAGTGCTTTATTTAGTGTGTTGGAGCTACATCTCCAAATAAGGACTGAGTTAAACTTTGCAGATTTACTTTCCATTAGGCTCACTTTACCTTTCCAACGGTCATAGCTGAGCTCCCACTTGTCCAACAGAAAAGATACTAAATTTTTCAATTTAATTTAGTAGCAATGGTCTTTGAATTACTAATTATTCACTTCTCATTCCCTTGAAGGCTTAGTTCAAGTGTAGTGGCTTCTTAACCTGGCAGTGGAAATACCATGTATCTGTGTCCGTGAATATATTTTAAAATTTGAATTATGTAATGGCCCGTGTCCTGCCAACATGCAATTACTTCGATGAGTTATGTAAAAGTGTTACTGGGACTGGGGCCAAAGTGAATGTATTAAAAGACTGAATTGGTAACCACTGGTTACTTTAGTGACCACAATCATTACCCCTCTTTTCAATATACATTGAAAACAAAGACTTCATTGGCAGCATGCTAACAAGCCTAAGAAATATCCATTAAGTAATAATTAAAGCTGCTACAGTTAAAGCATTAAAAATAACTAAAGCAACAAGTTAACAATAATTTATAAGAAAAACTTCCATTATCCTTCCAGCTCATATTTTCTGAAATATTCATTTATGAAAACCATGTTATACATTCCAATAACCACCTTTACCTTAACCCACAACACACTTAAGAACTATTCAAAAAAGTGTTTTAAGCTGGATTTTAAAATTGACAGACAGTATGAAAAAAGTTACAGGAAAATAATCTCCTACCCTGCATTACATCACAGAAATTGGAGAACTTCATATCAGTAAACTAAAGGGGTTGAGAACTCAAATTTGTAAACAAGGTTAATTGTCAGCTATGGAGCAACGAACTCCACCTTCATAACTCCCTCAATTTAACTATCAAATTTTGATTTGCAGTCACAGTTCTGCTGAAGCCATTAAATCAGGAAGCATATCTTCCACACAATGTTGCTCAGTTTGCTCCAGCCTGCATTTATTCACGAGCTGCACACACCTTTGTAAAGGAACATAACAAATAGAATGCAAATGCACATGGAGGTAATTGGGCTTACTAAAGAATCAACCTCTACATCAAGTTTCACTTACATTAAATAAAACTGAGAAGTGTTGGGAATAAGGTGAAAGCTTGATATATTAGAATATACACAACTGATTATAAAACAGGCAGTGGTTATAAGAATTACAGATTTCATACTAAGATAGGCAGTATTTCTAAATAATCAGGCCCCAAATACTTTTAGTAAAACCTGTCAAAACTAGAACATTTAACAGCAAACTTCCATCAAAAAAATCCAACTGCTTTGGCACTTCTGTTGAATGTCCCTCAAACTCTGCACAAACCAGCTGTCAAGTGGGATATTCAGCACAAGAATTAATATAGCCCTCACCTTTTTCTTTTCGAATTCCCAAAAGTAGCATGTTGCCCTCGCCCCACTTCATTGAGATGCCCCAGCATACATCATGCCATGTTATCACAGCTACTACAGAACCCCTGTGGAGTAAATAACCAGGCAAAGCCTAGTGTTAAATTTTGCTTGCTGCATGGTTTTCGAGGGTTTATTTTTATTGTTGTTCGATTTTGGTCTTAGTTACAGAATCACTTAAGTGAAGACTTGACTTGAATCTATCAACAGTGTTTTAAATGGAATGGCCTAAATATGGAAGAGAAAGTATAAATGACTTACTAGAAATGAAGCTATTCATGACAAATAATAGTAAATACAGACAAAACTGTGGGTCTTCAATTGAGTACAAACAAGAACAAAAAGCATTAAAAACGTTGTCACTGAAATGAATAATTATAAAATGTACGTATATACAAGGAAGCACAAAAGAAGGTGCTTTTAAAAAAAAATTTAAAGCAAGTAACTCATCATAGCAGATCAACACTTTAAGGAGCTGACATTTTTCCCCATACTGGGTGCATCTATACAATTCATGTGCAGAAGACTAATTCTACTGCGCATTAGCAGGGCAGGCTAAACCTGTGCTAATACACTAATGCACAGATTTAATCTAATGCGCATTAACGTCATTAAAAAAAACATTCATCTGCGCTAATGCACAGCAGTGCCAGTTACAGTGCATTAAGTTAGTACCTATCACTACAGGTACTAAACTTAATACAATGTAATTACAGTGCATTAATGAATATATAGACATGCCCAATGTGAATCAGGCCTCTTCTTTTAAGGATCATAATAAGTGTGGTGCCAGTTGATAAATTAAAAATTAACCATGTAAAACTGACTAATTTGTTACCCATTTGTTACAGGAGGTGAATTTTTAATTTTTTTCTAATGTCTATTTTTATTACAGTGGATTGAATCAGTCATGTATCAACATATTAAGATAAATAAAGCCTTTTGATAAAAAGTGCTATGTGCCTGATCAAATTAACTTGTGAGAATTTGGTATCAGAAACAAGATTTAGTAACAGCATTGACTTGTAATAGTTATACAGATTGATTAAATTAAATTATTTCCCTCTTCTTTCTTAATCTAACAACCTGACCAAGGTGACTTTTGAATGGATTTAGTCATGAAACTGCTAGCTGGCAGTTTTCAGAGCTTGAAACAAGTAGCTTCTGCTATTCCTAAGAAGTGACAATGCGATACACAATTTTTGTCTAACTAGGCTCCCTGAATCAAACTGCTAAAAAAAAAATGCAGTAGTTTTCTCTTAAATATCAGAGGCTGCAGTATTACATAAGCACTCTTTTCTGCTATTCTCCAGTCTTACTCCAGTAGATCTTTGGGATTTAAATGTCTTGCATCCTGAGGAATCATTGAAACCTGCAGCTTTAGGGAACTTTTTTTTTTTTTTTTTTTAGCTACATGCTGAGTGCTCTTCTGCTGATTCAATGCTTGAGGGTATTTCATAAACTAATGGAAAAATGGTTGCCTACGACACAGTGGGGAAACTACACAGTAGCTTAGGGTTACCATATGTCCGGGTTTTCCTGGACAAATCCTCTTTTTTGGATCCTTGTGGCTGCATCTGGGCAGGTTTTTAAAATAAGAGCAAGTGTCTGGGTTTTCTGCTTTCCTGGGCTGGCTGCTTGGGGCTGGGAGCAGTGGGCAAGGTGACTGGCTGTTGGGAGTCATGTGCTCCCTGCACAGGCTCTGGCAAGCCAGGTGAGAGAGAGACAGAGAACACGCATAAGCAAGCGACAGCATGTGTACAATGCCAGAACTGCTTTGGCAGCAGGGGGCGGGGGAGGGCTGCAGGTCAGGAGTGAGGGGCACTGCCAGAGCTGGGAAGGGTGCAGGGAGCTGTGAGTCTGGAGTGAGGGGCACCAGCTGGGGGGCAGGGGCCGTGGGTAGGGAGTAAAAGGCACTACCAGGGCTGCAGATCAGCGTGAGGGGCATGGCGGATGGGATGGGTTACTGTGGGTTGGGTGTGCAGGGCACTGGCAGCGCCAGAGTGCTGTGGGTCAGAAGTAAGGTGCACCAGCAAGGAGTAGAGGGCAGGGTACTGCTGCTTGGGAGTGAGGGGCACTGGCAGGGCTGGGGTCAGTGAGTCCAGAGTGAGGGGCAGCAGAAGGGCTGGGGGGTGGTGGTAGCTTGTCAATGAGGGGCAACAGAATGGGCAGGGCACTGACATGTCACTACCCCCCCCATCATATTCCCCCTGCCCTACAACCCCCCCCTGCCGTGACAGGTGTCCTCTTTTTTGGACCTGGAAATATGGTAACCCTACTGAGAATATCGATGGCAGCACTGCTTAACACCCCTTGTTTACAACAGGTGCTCAAACCATGGTCCATGGGCCAGATCAGCCCGCAGAGCCATATCATCCAGCTCCTGGGGCTCCTCACACATCCAGAAATTTGGCAGCAGGAGAGCAGTAGCAGCAATTGCCATGCCCCTATGGCCAAGTTGCTGAACCCACAGGGAGCCCTGTAGACTAAAAATGTGGCCCCAAGTGCTATATCAAGCACATAAGGCACTGCAGGGCTTGATTCTGGGGCACTGGCATGGGCAGAGGTGACATGGAACTGGTGAGGTAGCCCAGGGCCCAATCCAAGTGTGCAGGGACAATGGGGATGGTACAAGACTCAATGATGGCACCCAGGCCCTAATGCAACCCACTGGGCCAAAAGATAGAGCACCACTGGTTTATGACTACATAGAGAAGTTATATTGTCCCATAAATGATCACTACACACTAAATGGTTTTATTTGTAAATACTTGTTACTTTCTGACATACCTAATATTTCTGGAGTCACACTATGTACGTGAATGAGGTTGATATCAGTGAATTCAACCACACTATGTATTTAAATGAGGTTGATATCAGTGAAAAAAAAAATAAGGACTGAAAAAAGTGTAATTACACCATCACACATTTATGTCTAAGTTTAAAATAAAATGTAGCTAGAATTAAAGAGTGACAAAAGACATTTACTACATTCATTTCCAGCAGAATCTGTAGTCAATTAAAGAATTATATAAATTAACCTAGTTGTCTAATACTTTTTACCTCTACTAAGCATCCTTTTCAGATATAGCATAGATAAGTCCAGCCAAAAAAAGTAGCAAGAGATCTGCAAACATATATGGAAAACCTATTTCCCTCGCTTGTCTATAGCATTTTACATTTTGTAAGGTAATTTTTAATCCACATTTTGCATGAAAAGAGTTGATGAAGACATCTAAGTGACTGCAGGCTGTTTTGCCATGCAGAAGTCACTTTTGTCCCCAGACTCATGTCTTCCTGGGCAAAAACTATTTTAAATACTGAGGTGCAATGAGTACCCCTAAGCCTCACTGGTTATTGCCTGTATAAAAACTTGCACCTCTGAGTCATTGGGAATAGTTCATAATAGTGGTTTATCAGAAACAGTTCAGCCTGCTCACAGCTGCAAACTAACTAGAACTCTGACAGCCATTCTTGGGCTTGTCAGATGTAATGTTCTTATGGCACTGTGGGCAGTTTCAGGTACAACTACCAAAAGAATCTTTTACAACTCAGAAATGACATTTGACTAATTAAGGGGTAACATTCAGAAATCCCATGATGGTTGATTGTGACACAAGGCATCCAGCATCAAGGGAACAAGGAAAACTGAGACAGGCTTTTCAAACACCTTTGCACAACAAATATAAGCTCTAATTCTCTCTAATATCATCCCTGTCTTTAAAATGACTTTTCTATATTTTGAACCAACCTGCTGGTTGACTACTAACCATTCACTCATTCTCTCTCTGAAATGGCCTGAGTAAAAAAGCAGGTCATTGTGACAGGGGAAGGGTCAGCGAAGGTAATTAATCATCACAACAGCTTACAAAGGGATGCCACAGATTCTAGACCACTTGAAGTCTTTAAATCAAAGCTGGTGAGCTTTCTAAAAATACATAGCTTAGTTCATTGGTCCTCAACCCAGATTCAAGGGCAGAAGCTTTCTGATGTCACTCACAGGGTGCATCTACATATGCCTATTATTGCAGAGCAATAAACTCCGGTGCTTATTGCTCCCAGGAACGTGTCTGCACATGAGCCTGGGATCACAGCATGTTGACCTGGGATGGACCAGCCCCTGCTGGCAGGGTGCCCAGGAAGTCAGGTTGCCAGCCTGGGGCTGTTCCCCAGCTCAATGTGCTACAAAGGGGCTGGCCAGAGGACAAAGGTGTGCTACGAAGGGGCTGGCCAAGGGACGAAGGTGCTTCAGCAGGGGGCTAGTCAGCAGGCAGCCCCTGCACTGAAGCACCCTCATGCCCCAGCCAGCCCCTCAGCATCTACACATGCTGCTGTGTTTTTTTACTCCACAGCAGGATAGTACTTTTACAAGTACTTGTTATACAAGTACTATCCTGCTCTGGAGTAAATTAGTTTACTCTAGCCTAATAGGGGCACACATGTAGAAGCAAAGACATTTACTGTGCAGCTAATTAGTCTACGGCACAGTAAACGTCTCATGTAGACATGCCTACAGACACAAAGACATTAAAATGTTTAAATGGAGTTTGACAAAGAGAGCAAAGGATGACATAACCCACAATACATCAGCAGCTCAATCCTGTTGTTCATGGACCAGAGAGGGTTTAGGGCCACTGTTCTAATTTAAGCCCAACTTATGGGGCAACATGCAAGTGGACAGACTTAAAATGTAATAATATGGCCTACAGCAGAAGTGAAAGAAAGTATAGGCCAGGAAACTAGAGCAGTTGATAAAACTAGTCAAGTCAAGGCTGGGGAGGCAAGGAAACCTCAAATATGGGCCACAACTGAGCTGCTAACAACAAAGGGAAAAGAGGAAATAAAATGCAGTGTTCATCTCAAACACCTGCTGAGGGAAAAGTTAATGCAATTTGTCTATATTTATTTCCAGGACGATAGTAATAGAATTTTCTTGCGCCCTCAACATTATGATAGCAAACTCAACTCTTTGGCTGGGATTTCATGGAAACCTAATTCCCATAGGCACTTTTGAAAATCTGAGTTATTTTTTCCTTGATCTATGCATCCAGTTTTGATTTTTATTTATTTATTTATTTTTTATAAACTATTAGCTAAGCATGGCAATATTAAATCAAGTACAGCACTTCTGTTTCTACATTAAGGTTTTATTCTTTCAGTTTGCTTCAAAACTATTAAGAAAATACTATTAATGATAAAAGGATCATCTAAAAATCTTTTTTTAAAATTTGGCACACAAATACCGTAGCTGAGACAGTTTTTCAGATGGTAAATTTAGTAGGAAAAAGCAGATATAAAACCAATCGTCTCCTTCCCAACAGAAGTAAACAAAGCAGTTTAGTCTTTCCCATTTACTTTGAACAAAATAGTATCTAAATATCAAAGAGTAAAATCCTACATACTTGAAGAAGAAGAAAGCCACCGCCTACTGCAGTTGCTGCAAGTTTTCCAACTTTCTGGAACAAAAATCCTGCACACCTTAAGAAAACCAAAAACACATTCCAGTGAAATTGTATGTTCCAAAATATGACTTTCTAGAATTGTCGTCCAAATGCCAGATAACATTTGGTGTACTGAAATGAGTTTCATCTCCCTATTTCTTAATTTGTAGCCTGTAACTTTATGATTGGGAATTTATGATAAGCACTTTTTAGTAATGTGGATTAAAAACAAATTACAGGCATAGTAATCATCAGCTAATGGCTATTCAGTACCCTCTGTAAAGTGGGCTGGTGGCTTCCAGCTTTGTCTACACACACAAGTTACACCTCTAACTATACTGGCATAACCAGTAATATTAGTATAGATGTGCCTTTACAATCAAAGCCATTCCCACAACGAAACATAATAAGCTATACCAGTAAAACACATTCTTGTACCACCATAACCTCTAGCATTGATGTTCTTATACCAAGTTAATTATTTCCACAGATAAATTACAGTGCTAACCAGAAAAGTTAGGGCTTAGCACTGCTTAACACCCCTCCCCGCCCCCCAAAAAAACCAACAACAAACAAACCCTGTGTGTAGACAAGGCTGAGTCTATTTTTTGAGTAGAGAAAAACCATCCTCCCATTAAACATTCCTCCTGGCCACCTGAACTGAATCATCTACCACCTCACTTCTAGCAATGGGCTGTGCAGGGAAGGTTAAAAGTTTTTTTTGTAGGGCTGTTAAAAAATGTCATGTCACTGCACAAACTGCACCTTCAATTCTAGGCCTCTCAATTTGACACATTAAACAAATATTAAAATCCACCTCAAGCTTTTAGGAAAAGAAGTTATTTTAAAAATATATCTATCTATCTCTACCTACCTTTTAACAACTTTAGAAGTACATCTTCAGGTTTAAAAGTATACTGAAACACTAATATTTCTACAGTGACTAACAAATATTAAATATTAAAAACAACCTTCATGATGTTATCAAATTGTAAAATGGAAATTTCACTTTCATTTCTAAAACTCTCACCTTCTAATTCTCCTTTATTTGTATTGACAGGATTTTCCTATTACTACATTTCCATACGAAAAATCTGTCTTCATTGATTTGAGTGTTTTCATGAGCTAATAATGTTTTAATGTTAACTTGTATTACTCTAATGTTAATACTTATGACTCAACTTTAACAAAACATTTCCATTAAACACCTCTTCAGCTAAGCCAAAATCAAAATGTTAAGTCATGCTAATAGAAATAGAAATAGCTTTTGCTTTTAAAAATAAACTCACTTTAGAAAAAGACAGGCTCCTGATTAAAATCTGTCCTGCCCCAATTTGTTTATGATTGTTTGCATGTGTGAAGTATATCTCAATCACATTTTATCACAATAATCAGGTTCTTGTACCTATAGTGGTAACTAATAAAATATATAACAGATATAAGAAACATAACTATATCTCCTAATTTTCCATTTTTTCCCTTGAAGTCTTAAGAGTACTGACATGTCTTCTAGGAAGGTTCACAATAAACTAGCCAGGGGCTACTTTGCCATGTATGCATTTTACAGATCTCAGGCAAAGCTTTAAAGTAGTGGCTCTCAACCTGGCTAGACTTGAGACATCCGATGGAAAATCCCACTTCTCAGTTTTAACTCATTTTTTGACTATGGAAAAATAATAGAGCAATTTTTCGGTTGCAAAGAACTTGGAAGATCACAGCAGGTCAGAATGTTTGTAACACTATGGATTCCTACTTGAAATCTCTAGGTTTATTTTGTGATCTAGTATCAGCATCAGTTGAATTTAAGTATCTGTTTAGAAAGTCACCATTAAATGTATTTATTCACTTCAACATCTGTAGGAAGAGACAAATTTAGGACAGATAAACACACAACACAATAATCAAAAGGAATCCTCTCTCACCAGCCAGTTACTCCACCCATTGCAATCTGGGTAGCTACAGAATACTTTTCTACAATTGGTCCAGAATTTCGGCCAAATACACGATTCCACCAATGGTGACGCCTCGCATATGCTGTTAAATCCAATACTTCGTATGAATCATCATCACTTTCATGGTCTTTAAAAAGAGAAACTTTAGTGAGTAGTCAAATTATAAAAGTATTGGTTCTGAATTTCAGTCATATAGCATAAAAGTTTACTATGACAGCTAAAGAAATTAACAGAACCATTTACTCTGTGATACAGTTATCTAACACAGGGGTGCCAGCCTTTGGCCCACAGAGCCCTGGAAACCAAACTGTGGGACTCCCCATGGGTTGAGATATTTGGCAGCAAGGGAGAAATGGTGATTAATACTACCACCCTTCCCTGTTGGCAAAATCCCAAACCCCAAGGAACAGGTCAGAGCTGGACCATGACCATCACTCAGCACAGTCGTGTTGGGGCTGGGCCACACCCCCTTCCCTCCCAAGCAAGCCAGTTGGGGCCAAACTGTGTGCAGCTCCTCCCCCCACATGGCTGGTCCAAGGCTGGGCCATGCTTCCCACCCCTCACAGGGCCAATTCAGGGTTGGGCCAAGCCCGCTTTCCCCACAAGGCTGGACCAGGCTGACCCACCACCCCACTTCCCTCCCCACAACCAGATGGGGCCCTGCTGCACACACCCTAGTCACTGGATTGGGTCTACCAGCTAGATGCAGCTCACAGGGAGATCAGGAACTGCCCATTTGGCCCCGTAGACAAAAAGGTTGAGCACTACTAGTCTAACAGAACGGTTCAAATTCGAGTCTGTAGACTAGTGATGCTCAACCTTTTCAGACTCCAGGCATCCCGTGATTGACTCAAGGAACCTCTCAAAAATGCTAACTCTTAGCTCTTGGTTTTTTGACTATGGAAAGATATGAGAGCAATTCTTGTGTTGCAAAGAACTCAAAAAGCCCACAATAGGGCAGACTTTTTTTTAATAATATGGATTCCTATTTGGAATCTCTAGGCTGATCTTATGACTCCTGTCAGTGAAAACATTGCATGGCACCCTCAAAAGGATCTCAAGGCACCTTGGTGGAGAATCGCTGCTGCAGACCAACAACAGTCTGTAGAGCCACACCAGATGATGCCCAGAATGCAGCATTTTAAGATCGAAACGGTAGAGAACTAAGGCTCTAACAGAAGAGATCTAAACAGAAGAGACCTTAATTCATGAAAGGATTTTTTTTTTAATGAAGTCCATAAGATCAAGTGTTAAGAGAACAACTGCCACAGAATTTTCTTTAAGACAGACAACCTCAGCTACTCGAGGCCCCTATCTTCAGTACAATGCAGTCATGTGCCTACAGAGTCCCAAGTTCAACAGAACTTTGCCAACCTAGAGTCACTTGTATGATCAGTCCCTGCACTGCTGACATTCAGAGATTTGTGGGAAGAGATGGATATTTCTCCTTTTTTTTAATAATCTATTTTTAGAAGTAAATGCTAGCTGACAGAGAGAGAGAAACTCCTTACTGTAGAGCACAAAGGGCTTTAAAGCATATTGTGGATCTTTGTGTAGCACTTTAATAACATTCCAGACAAAAAAAGGTGACAATTGCAGGGGAGAAGAAGGATGTAGACATAAATATTCCACAATAGTTGGATCACCCATTCTTATCTTTTAAATCTTGAAGTAAAAGAGACTAACAAGACAACAGGCTTATAATTCTCTATAATTCTCTATGCTTCTATGATTTATCTCGGAGCCGACTGTCCCAGGCTTTTTTCTTCCATCAAAACAGGCACAAGAGCAGTCTGCTCAGGGGAAGGGCAGTCCATTTGCACACCAGGTCTGAATGGCAATTAACCTGAATTACCCCAATGGGGCAGGGAGAAACATCATTTCAATTTTTCAACCTGAAAACCACCAAACAAACAGGCTGGATTTGAATTGGAGCTGCTCCTTTGCTTCTTGCCTGCAGCCAGCCCTAAAAAAGCCTATGCTCCCACATTAAGTACCCCTGAACTGTCCAAGGACCCTGCTAAAGAAAAGCTGGAGAGAAATCAGTTGTCAAGTTGTTCCACTTTTACAAACAGATCTTTGGAGCTGGTTGCCTCTTTCCGTAGCCAGAGAATCATTCTGCTGGTTCAATGAAGACTTTGTACCCAGGAGCCAATCCACCTTCACACCATGGTGAACCAGTCAACTGCCTAATATATGGGAGTGACAGGCACGCTGTGCTTTGCACACTCCCTGTTTGGCCTCTTGGCCAAGATGAAGCAAGCCTGAGGGTCCTCGAACCCAAGGCCTCCAGGCCTGGGGCTCATGCGCAGGATGCCTGCTTGGATTTAGGGGGCAGCTGATACCCTGGGCAGAGGGGCCTGAGAAGAAGGCTGATTGCTGGCTGGCAAGAGCCACACAGACTTGACCACTGAGCTCTGCTTGGTCAAATCCTGCAGCTCAGTTGTACGGTGTTGGCTGCAGCCGTGCTGGTCTAAGGACATAGGCAGACGAGCTTCTTTAGGTAAATCCAATATCTTTTATTAGACCAACTCAATAGTTGGGAGGAAAAAAAATCTTAACAAGCTTTCCGGTTTAAAAACGCTTCTTCAGGCAGAGGGAGACTCTGCTGGCATTTTGTGCACTCTCCTGGGGACAGTCTGCACCATTTTGTCCAAATATGGGGCAGGTCTAATAAAAGGGATCATTTCTGCCCGCAGCACCTTGACTCCTAGGCTTTGCCCAAGCCAATGAGGAACCGCTGTGGCCGTGAACAAGAAAAGAAAAAAACCACCCTGCCACTTCAGCCACCGAGCACCTGTCCCCGTGAGTGTCCCCCGCCCCGCCGCTCCCCGGACTCGAACCCGACGTCCCGAGACCAGGAGGACACAGCGCAGGCGCGTCCCGCAGGGCCAGGCGCCGCGTGACGTCAGACGCGGCTGCAAGAGACCCCCGCGCGAGCCGGCGAAGGGGAGGGGGGCACGTCTCGCTGCGCCCGCCTGCTCCGCCCTCAGGGGGAGGGGGGGCTCCGACCAGGGGTGGCCCGACCGCCCCGGGGGGGAGGGCTCGCACCACCAAGGAGACGAAGCCCGAGCGGCCGCCGAGCGCCCCCTCCCCAACGTCCGGGGTCGGCAGCGGAGCCTGTGGAGGGGGTGGGGGCACTCACCGACCTGAGGCGGAGCGAGGCCGCCGCGCTGCCATGTTTGCCAGTGCAGCTGGGAGGGCCTGGCCGTAGCGTCGCTCCGCCTCCGCTGACCGCTCTGTCCCACCGGTCCGCCGCAGTCTATGATCCCTCCCCCACCTCAGGACAATGGTGGAGGGGGAGGGCGCATGCGCAGAGAACCCCAGCCAGTGTTTCCCAAGCGCTCGGGCGCGGGCGTGACGTCATGGGCAGGGCCAGCGTGAGGGGGGAGGGGGCAGTGGCTCTGGTAGGGTCCGCGGGGATGGGAATAGCAGGTGAGCTCCAGCTGCTGGTGGTGGTCAGCTGCTGAGTGGGAAAGAGAGGGGCATATATAAAAACGAGGGCACACCTAGGAGTTTGAGAGGGTATCACTCCATGTTATACAACACATATTTCTCCAGTTCAAAAGAAGCTGGAGGCTTTATTCATAACTTGCTTTATTATTTTTCTGCAGTCAAAAACCAAGTGAAAGCCAATAAGAACTGGCATTTTCCAAGGGGGCCTTGAGTCTAAGGAAGGGAGCCTTGAAACTAAAAAGGCTGAGAACATTGTTATAGAATAACCCTTTCATGGAGGCATAAAGATTTCATAGGCAGTAGTCTACTTTCCCAGGTGCTGTGAATGAACTAGGAAAACAGTGAAGACCCATAAGCTCAATACATTTTCCAATCCCAGTTATAAAACTGCAGAAACATTCTACTAAGGCCCAGTCACCATTGCCCTTCCCTCACCACAACAACCTGGTGGGTGGCCCCTGGCCCAGCTGCCTGGCATCCCTCCATGTGGCAGCAGCAGCCATGAAGTTGGCACTTAAAAGATGCAGTGCAAAGGCTGTGCTTATTCAGCATGTGGTCATGGATGGCTCTGTGAGCCAGGCAGGAGAAAGAGATGCAGCCAGAGCCTCAAGCAGAACAAAAGCAGTTTTGCTATTCACAATATTGTGAAATAATTGCAAAGCAAAAATCAGGCTTCACCTGCCGCTGATATTACTGAATTTGGATGCTTTATGCTGGAACAGCATGATCTGGGGACAAAGCTGGAATTAAGAGAATGTGAACTGGCTTTTAATTCTTTCCCTGAGGCCAACTCATTGTATGGCATTGGGCCAGCCAATTACTGGCTCTGTTTCTTATCTGTAAAATGGGGATGATTAACTTTTGCTAAATTTTTATATTTTGTAAAGTTCTTTGAGATCTACACATGAGAAGTTTTATGTAAACTCTGTGCATTATCCATTAGAAGGTGACTAATATTTTCTAACTGGCAACATAAAGTTGTTGATTTCCACAGAATTTGAACAACACAGAATTTGCAAAATATTCCAGGAGATAATTCCACAACATGGTTAGAGGCTTTAAGTAGCCCATAAAAGTAAATCATTCAAAAAGGCGACAAAATATAGAACCTCTTAAGATAGTGAGCAAAGTTTAAAATAGAGCTGGCTTGAAACATTCAAAGAAAAAGAAATTTAGAGCTGAAATTGCTGCCTTGTTCTTAGCTTACATCAACCAGCAACAGAAAAAAGGATGCCTTTTGCACTAAGGGCCAGTGGTGATGCGTAGGGGGTGCACATGCACCCCCTGAGAGCACTGGTGCACCTCCTGTAAGGCCGTGCTCCCTGTTTAGGCAATGGGCATGGGGGCAGGTGGGAGCTCTGGTGCCTCCCTGCAAGCATTGGCTGAGGAGTGGGGCTGCCAGCAAAAGCGGCCGGAAGTGACCATGGGACTTCTGGAAGCGGCGCAGCTGCTTTCTGGTGAGTGAGATTGGGGGATCACCCCCCAATCCTGCTCAGCACAATCAGCCGTGGGGGACTGCCCCCTCCAGCCACTGACTGGTGTGTCTCCTCTGACTCAAGAGGCACCAGTCGCCCATGCTAAGGACACACACTTTTTCTTTTATATGTGTTTTGCACAGCCTCTGTACTGATAATTTGTGAGCAGTTGGTGCTGTTTCAGTATAGGCCACTCAGAGAGGTTGTAGAATCTCCATCCTTGGATAGATGTTTTTAAGAACAAGTCAGCTATTTGGCTGGGATGGTTAGTCATGGACAGTCCTACCTTGTGAAGGGGGTTGGAAGAGGTGACCTCATAAGAAGTGCCATTTACTGAGTCAGATCACAGGTTCATCTTGTCCAGTACCCTGTGTCACACGGTGATAGTGAATGCTGAAAGGGGGAGTGAACAGGGTGTTACCAGGGTTTTTTCCATTGTTCCTCTTGCTCACAACCTTCAGCATTTAAGGTCTAGGAAATTCTGTTTCAGACTGTACTCCTCATTCCCACGCTCAATAGCTACTGATGCGCCTTCCCTCCTCAGGTTCTTTCCAACCTCATTGTATATGAATCAATGATACCGAGAGCTTTTTGGCAATGTAAATATTAGGAATGCCACAACATTTAGTTATTATAATTTAGTATTAATTTAACACCAATTACAATTAAACGTCTTAGCTAAATAATTAGGAAGATTAGAAAATGTGTTTTGATTTTTACATTCCCCAACTCGTCTGATTGGTAGCATGAGAGATCATCAAAGTCATTCTTCAGAAATGACGGTTATAATAAGTTTCTTTGGCTGTCATGAAAGATTTCTTATATAGCAAGAAATACTTCTTAAAATGTAAACTCAGAATGTGAACATTCAGACTTCTGATTATTCTTTCATTTTGTATGCAAGTTATACTGACTTCAATGAGATGTGCATGTGCATAATTGGCAAATTAGGGCCAAGAATGTCATACTGAGTTACATAGGATCACAGGAAAGTTGGGCTGGAAGGAACCTCATAAGGTTATCCTGATCAAGGCAGAATGATCCTAAACTAAACCATTCTAGTCAAGTGTCTGTCCAACTTGCTTCAAAATTTCTCTAGGTAGCCTGTTCCAATATTTGACCACTCTCATGGTTAAAAAGTTAGTCCTAATCTACAACCTAAATTTCCCTGGCTGAAGTTTGAGGCCAATGCTCCTAGTCCTTTCCCCTATAAATGCAGAGAAAAAAACATCTCCATCCTCTCTGTAATTAACCAGGAATTTGAAGACTGTTATAAACTTCCCCATCAGAATTCTCTTCTCCAGACTAAATAACCCTAGTTATTTCAGTCTTTTCTCATAAGTCATGCTTTCCAAATTTTTAATCATTTTTGTTGCTCTACACTGGACTCCTTCCAAATTTTTCTTGAAATGTAGTGCCTGAAATGGGACACAGCACTCCTGGTGAGGCCTCACCAACTGAACTGAAGAATCATTTCCCTTGATTTGCAAGTGACACTCCTGTTGATACAACCCTGTTCGTATATAGTGGTAAGTATGCTTACTGCTATATAAGCCAGTATACTGTTGGCTTTTTTGCAACAAGAGCACACTGTTGGCTCATATTCAGCTTATGATCTACTGTAACCCCCAAGTCTTTCTCTGTGGTACTGCAGCCTAGCCAGTCATTCTCCAGTCGGTATTTGTGCATGCAGTTACCCTATCCGAAATGCTGAACTTTGCCCTTGTGTGGCGGTCTTGTCCGGCTTTGCCCAGCTCTCCAGGCTTAGGAGACCACAAATGCAATTGGTGGGGCAAAACCCATCAATTAGAGACAGGCAGGGGAGGAGCCAGGAAAAGAGTTCATTCCCCCTCTACTCCAAAGGGACAGGGGGCAGGAGTGGACTTAATTGGGAATTGCAGTTGCAGCCTCCCTAAATGATTCATTTTCAAGCTGAGGGTGGAGCTCCAGAAGAGGATATAAGCAGCTGCATGCCAAGCACATGGTGCAGTTGGCAATGGATGAAGAAGGAAAGGGTCCTAGGGCCAAGAGGAGCTGGGAGAGCTGCCCAGCAGGCATATCTGGCTGCCCAGAAGATCGCGAAAGATTCCGCTGCTGGACAGAAGCAGTTAACGGTGCAGGCATCACTGCATGGAGGGTCCACGAGGGACCGGGACCCTGGGAGCTGCAGCAAGGTGGCTCGGGTCTCCAACCCTGGTGTGAGGCTGGGCATGGGAGTCAGTGCTACCATGGGGTGAGTCATTGCAGGGTGTAAGACCCTGGAGAAGGAGGGGCCAGGTGGTCTGGAACCCATTCCCTGCAGTGGGTCTGCATGGGCCTCAGGAATGGAGTGATTCCCAAGCATGGGGAGCAGCATTCAGAGTGGCATGGCCTTGGGTATGCACGGGGAAACCCAGGCTCGCAACTCCCCCTACGAAGGATTGAGCCACTGTGACACTTGAGCGATTCCTGCCACTCCTCTGAGGCCTGGGCTAAGCCCTCCCTTGGAGAAACATTAGCCAGACCAGGGAGCTTATGAACACTGCCCCACTCAGCTCCTTGGCACACGTGGGTCAGTGATGCAATGGATCTCCCACCAGAGAGCGACACTCAGGAAAGGTAGCCTCAATAAAGAGGCAGGAGGAAGAGATCCCCTAGAGCAGTGGTCTCCAAAGTGGGGTGCACGCAAGATGATCCATTGTGGTGCAGGAAGAAAATATTAGAACTTCTATTTAGATGTATATTTATATAAATATACATATATTGGGGGGTGTGCTTAAAAATTTTTTACTGATAGGGGTGCGCGATCAAAAAAGTTTGGAGACCACTGTCCTGGAGGAGGGGAACCACTAGAGAACACTTGCGTCTCATATGTTAGAGTGATTATTGATTGTTTGATACATGCTGTGCATTTTTGGAGTGTTTATTAACTGTTAACTGTAAGCCTTGTATTTTAGGGTGCCATTTATTGTTGTATTTACCTGTTCATATCATTTGGGACCAATATGCTTACCTGTATGTATTTGGGTGTGTATATAGTTATATCTATTTATAACCTGTAAGTACTCACTTTAGTTCACTACCTTTATATATATATAAATAAACATTTTGTACCTGGCTAAGACATCACTTTTTGTCCCATCTCTATTGAGACATGATAGAATCATAATCATAGAAGTAGGGTCGGAAGGGACCTTGTAGATCTTCAAGTC